TAATTTCATGTTTAAATGATGCTGGATAAATCGTATTTTTTATTTTTTTATTAAATAAATCAAAACTATTCAAATTAATATAGTTTCAAAAAAAACATATAATTTTAAAACATTGAATATTGATAATTGTAGAATGTTATCACAATGTAACACGGCCAATGAGAGCGCTGGATTTCCTGTTGGTCTCTAGCAATGTATGGTATGCTTATATGCCCACCGCCCGCCACCACCACCAGCGATCGATCGTGCGCGTGCGCGATTCATAATCAACAAATATATTAACATTTGTTATCAGTTATCAATTTCCAGTTATCATTTGTTATCAGATATCAGTTATCATTTGTTATATATTTATTTAACCCAGTGGATCACATGCGTGATTTTTATCATAGTTATACATTATTATTGAAATATGCCATAGCCGTTTCTWCTAGCAAATTAARCACGTYGGGCGTTGTATTTACAATAAGAGACATTAAGTAGGTATATTTTAGCGCTGTTTCGATTATTTACAATAATAGATATATTAGCCATATTCAATTAAATATTCACACACACCGCCTGGACATTAGTGATTTTTCTTGCCAAATGGTAGTAATAATCACAAATAAATGTCTTCTTAATGTRCCMTATCGGTCGCCTGGATCGCCACCGTATTGTCATTACCTGTCATCACTTAAAGGACAATTATTAAAGGATAAATATTCAATTAAATATTCACACACACCACCTGGACTTAGTGATTTTTTCCTGCCAAATGGCAGTAATAATCACAAATAAATGTCTTCTTAATGTGCCCTATCGGTCGTCTGGATGTCGCGGACTCTTAATAGCCGCTAATATATATTGTCCCCACCTATTATAGAGACTCCTGACTAAAAGAGTCGGTCACCGTTTAGTCCGTCTGCTGCCTTAAACTGGTGTACATGTATACGCTCCGTCTTTATAAATTTTAGTGAGTTTAAAAAGTGTTTTTAATATCAAAAATAATTTTTAACATGGCCGGTTCTATCACCAACAACGCTGCGCTATACAAGAAGAAGAACAATTTTACTAATGTACCTCCATCACCAACGACCGAACTTATCGAATCTACATCTTACACACTCGACTTCGTAGCCCGTAAGTTTGTGCATATCGGTATTGACCCGAGCGAACAATTCCAGGTCGTTGTACATTTTTTAACCCCATCGCGGCATGTCAAATTAACACCGGATTTTCTAAAACGTATATTTTCACTGATGGGTAATATGCTGTCATTCGTATTGGAGCAGACACTAACATATAAGCGCACGTTATTTTTGGAAACCGAACTTTATAAAATATCCAGTATGGTGTATGGCGGAGAAAAWGTSAYAGTGATAGAATCAAAAACTCAGGACGGGTGCAGAGTACTGTTGAATCGGAAGGACGTTATACTAATTCAGTATTTGGAATGGTGCATATTTGAAACGATTACACAAAAATCAATTATGACACAACCAGYTGTCTTAAAACAATTCGAAATGTTTTTAAACTATATCGATGTTGAATTCACCAAAGTTGATTCACCACCGAAAAATCATGAAGAAATGGTCACATTTATCAAAAATCCACGCGACGAAAGTGTAATTTYAAAAATTCCGAAAAATGGTGTAAATTTCATCAGTCAACTTAAGATGTATGCTTCATCTCAATTAGCCGAACATTGGACGCAACGATGGAGCGGAGAAATGTCGCCAGAGGTAAATCTATATATTATATCACTTTTRAAAATATTTAATGTATAATTATTATTTTATAGTTATTCACCGAATCCGAAATGAGGCTCATATCACCATTGTCGCCTCCTCAATATATAAATATATATTGAAATAATTTAAGTGTTTTAATTTTATAGGCAGCTGACGAGGATCGT